CAAAATTGGTTTATAGCATAAGCCAATATTTATTCAGCTTAAATATATTGGCGTGAACTTTACGCTTTAGCTAGAAAGTAAATTTGTAGTACAATGCCTTTGTTTAGCCATGTTTCCTAACCCCGCTCCCTATGAGTTTCAAAGATTTGCTTTGAGCGATTTGTACGTATTTTCAATCCGCGTCTTTTGAGTTGGTAAGGTGAATTCTTGCTTATGAACTGAGAAGTGACTTCGGCTCAAAGGTATTTAGATTTGGGTGGCCTAATCGCATTTATGCGTGTAAAATGATGGATGTATCATCAGTCAATGGGGTCGTCAATGCCAGTGGGGCAGCTGCTTCTGCTGCGCCTGCTAAGAAGCGACTTTCTGTTGAGAGGATTTATCAAAAGAAAACACAGTTGGAGCACATTTTAATTCGTCCCGACACCTACATTGGCTCTGTATCTCGGACTACAACGACGATGTGGGTGTTTGATAAGGAAAAAGAAGCTATGGTACAGAAAGAAATTACGTACACACCTGGTCTGTACAAAATATTTGATGAGATCCTAGGTAATATTCATCTGATTTTGAGTCATCAGTTTAGTGAACGCCGCCGATAACAAGATTAGGGATCCCACTATGAACTGCATCAAGATCGATATCAAGCCGTAAGTAGAGCCCTCGTATATGGCACTGTTCTAGAGCTGAAAATCTCGTTCGTGTGTGGAATAATGGTGCTGGGATTCCTGTTGTGCATCATAAGGTGGAGAATATGTACGTTCCCTCGCTGATCTTCGGACACTTGTTAACATCGAGTAACTACGACGACACTGAGCAGAAGGTTACTGGTGGTCGTAATGGCTATGGTGCAAAGTTGTGCAACATTTTCAGCAGACGCTTCATTGTTGAGACGTCAAGTAAAGAGAACAAGAAGTGCTTCAAGCAGGTGAGCTGCTCATTTTGTTAGACGCCATTGTTTGTGTTGTTAGACGTGGGTAGACAATATGACCAAAACATCTGAACCGAAGATAAGTCCGAATTTCGGTGAAGACTTCACCTCTGTTTCTTTCTATCCTGATCTTGAACGATTCGGAATGACAGAACTAGACGCTGACACCGTCTCTCTTTTCGAACGCAGAGCTTATGATGTCGCCGCCTCTACCCGTGGCGTCAAGGTCTTTCTAAATGGGCAAAGAATACCCATCAAAAGTTTCAAGGATTACGTCGATTTGTACCTTAAGGACAAGGGTGAAGACGGTGCCTCTGTGCCGGTTAGTTCATAGCTTCGGAAATCATCGTATCCCTACTTCCTCGATAATAAGGTCTTTCTTATCTGCAATTCAGGTCGTGTATGAGTGTGTGAACCCTCGGTGGGAGATAGCCGTGGCACCGAGTACAGTCGGTTTCCAGCAAGTCAGTTTCGTCAATAGCATCGCCACCACAAAGGGCGGTAAGCACGTGGACTACATAGCTGATCAAGTGGTGGGCAAGCTAATCGATATTGTAAAGAAGAAATCAGGGAAATCCGGCGTCTCGATAAAGAACTTCCAAATTCGTTCGCATATGTGGGTGTTTATCAATTGCCTCGTGGTGAACCCCACCTTTGACTCACAGACCAAAGAGTTTATGAGTTTAGAAGCGAAGCACTTCGGATCCACCTGTCAACTAACTGAGAAATTCATAAATCAGGTCTCTAAGTCGGGTATCGTGGAGAGTGTCCTCTCATGGGTGCGATTCAAGGCACAAGAGAAGATGGATAAGCAGTGCCATAAGTCAAAGCATGCCAAATTAAAAGGGATTCCAAAGCTGGATGATGCCAACGATGCAGGGACAAAGAACTCCCAGTATTGTACTCTTATCCTCACTGAGGGAGATTCGGCCAAGTCTCTTGCGGTGGCCGGTCTCGGGGTGGTTGGGCGTGACCGCTATGGCGTCTTTCCTTTGCGAGGTAAACTGCTCAACGTTCGTGAAGCTCCGGCAAGGCAGATCATGGAGAATGCTGAGATCAACAATCTCATTAAAATTCTGGGTCTGCAGTATAAGAGCAAGTACGAGTCTCCGGATTCTGTCGCCAATTTGCGTTACGGAAAGTAAGTGTTGTCGCCTTTCAATGACGCATTTTCTGGTTCTGTTTGTCATTCGTGCTTTTACGTGTTTACCAAGAATTATGATAATGACGGATCAAGATCAAGACGGATCGCATATCAAGGGCCTGTTGATCAGCTTCATCCACCATAATTGGCCCAATCTGCTTCGCCATAACTTCCTAGAGCAGTTTATCACCCCGATTGTGAAAGTATTTAAGGGGAAGCAGGAAATCGCCTTCTATAGCATCCCCGAATTTGAGGAGTGGCAAAAGTCAACAGCCAACTGGCATACCTGGCGTGTGAAGTATTATAAAGGTAGGGAGGACGCTTTTTATTAAGCTATCATCTAGGTATGTTTTCCTCTATGCTGCCATGTAGGTGTTGCTTTCCCCATGTTGGGAAGTTCGCAGACAGATAGAGCACTTAGTGGCATTATTTCGAGCTCAGTATGGCGATTTTTAACGTAGTGTTAGGTTAGTTTTCAATGGCCTCTCACTTTCAGTTTTTACCAACTTCCTTCACGCAGTCGCTCACACAGTCATCAGTTCTTTCATTAACATTGACTGCCCTCGACAACTCACAAGACCATTTGCGCATCTGTTCATTAGATGTCTGAATGACCACTTCTTCCCCTCCCCCTGCATAACCGTGCCCATGCGTATAACCACTTATTCGCCTTTGGAACATCCACTGGTTCACCTTTGTAACCTGCTAAGACGCGTGACCGAGTATTTGACATTTCCGAATCATTAAACGATGGTACTAATGGTATTTCACTTGCTCCCCTAGGTTTGGGTACCTCAACTAGCAAGGAGGCGAAGGAGTACTTCTCAGACATGGCGCGCCATCGTATCCGTTTTCGCTACTCGGGACCCGAGGACGACGGTGGTATTATACTTGCTTTTAATAAAAACAAGATCAATGAGCGCAAACAATGGCTTACTACGTGGATGGAAGAGAAGCGACGGCGCACAGAGCTGGGTTTGCCAGAGGACTATCTTTACGGTGCGGGTACTCACGCCATTACCTACCACGACTTCATCCACAAGGAGCTCGTTCTCTTTTCAAACATGGACAATGAGCGCTCCATCCCATCGCTAGTGGATGGCCTGAAGCCCGGTCAGAGAAAGGTACGTGTCTGCCATTTGTCGCAGTGAACCCAACTTTGTATCTGCTTCCGACAGCCACTCCTTGCAATATATC